AAGTAAATGAAACTTAACCTATCATATATCTGCCATAGTCGTTACACTTGCGAACCTGATTGTAGATGTTTTCTTGTAAATGTGTTTGTTCACTGGATCTCATCAATGGAAAAACTTGGGACAAGGGCCGTAGGTTTAAAAAAAGGTCAGCCAAATCGATTTTCATAACATCTGTTATTTTAAGTGTTCTTAGCAAGTTGTGAATCTCAGTAAAACGAGGTGTATGTCAAGCAAAAGAAGGCAGAAAAATATGTTAAAAACATCAAGACATTGAAAAAGAACAAGTGTTTTAAAACACTGTTTTGAAACACACTTGTTTTAAAACATTGCCACCCTGTTCGAGGTAGTTTTCTTTCTGGGTATATTTCAAGTTATTCAGTTTAAACAGCTAATTTTGCCTTTCTTCACTTGTTTTTGCAAATAAGTAAATATTTGTAAATGTGTTTTCTGGATAATTGTGCAGATGAGTTTCTCGGATGAACCAACCAATAATAATTAAATTGATTTGACCAATATATGTAATTACACATGCGAAGCGTAGAGTATTGTTACGAAGAATTTTTTTTGAGTTGGAAAATGCTCAAATAAAAGTTCTGATTTGTGGCATTTTTGGTATATTTCAATTTAATCATTAATTATAGGTAGTTTGATAGCCTACATTGCGGTTTTTTTTTTGGCTAGTGTAAGGTTCTGTTGAAAACAACAGGTATTATGAACATGTATGGGAATTGTTGTTTTTTTTGCGACGCTTTGGAAAATTATTGAATTTTTAGCAGAAATTTCATTTTTTCTCAGAAACTTCTGAGCGGATTTTCAAAAAAAAAATACCAATGGAAAAACTGGCGGCTCTTTTATCTGCCTGCATTTATTGCCAGTCTCTCTTCATTTCACCCCAGGCCTTCGAAAGTTTCGGAAGGGGGATTTTTGACCTATTTTTCACTTTCTCAAATATTTAATACGCAAATTTAAGAGGTACGTTTCAATTTAAAAAAAATCATGGGGATCCCTTTTCTCAGGCGGCTATTTCCCAAATTTGGAAGAAAAAAGTTATGGCATCAAACAAAACCATTTTATGACATATTTGTTAATTTTAATAATTTTTTGACCTTTCTCAAAAACCACCCTGCCAGAGATCAAGGGTTGAACCGGAAGAAAAAAACTAATTATGCGAATCTATCTAGTGTAAACGGCTATGCCTAGTGTTTTGAAAAAAAATATGGCCGTAGAAAATGTCCAATTTTTCAATTTTTGCCCGTTTTTTTCAGAAATTGAAGTCTTCCCTGCTTAAGATGCTATTCTCATGGTTTATTAGAGAAAAGTAAATGGATTTAGGAAAAGTCAATTTTTACAATATTTGATCGTTTCTTGGAATCTGTTTTCATTTTTGTTTCGAAAACTGCCCAGCCAAATGTGAGATAAAGAATTCAGTTGCAAGAGCGAAAGTAGTTTTCTCCCTTTACGCATTTCCGCATCAACGCAATCAAATCCGGAACATTGAATTACTTTTTTTGGTCGAATTTTTGCTGCATTGCATTGGGAATTTGATCAAAAACTGCAGCTGCATTATTGGTAGCTATTGTAAGTAAAATTACAAGTGGTCGTGGAGCAGATGTGAGAAAACGATACTCCTTATCTCAGCAAATGTTTTTCCTTATCTCAGCAAGCGGTGTATTTTTAATCTTTCAAGAGTAATGAACGTAGTGAAGACTCTTATAGAGGTCTTGGTGATTTTTTTTCAGGAAAAGTCTTAAAATGCTCTCATAACTACAGATGTGCATTCATAGATATTTAAGCATTTCTGAGTGCACTTAGGTTGATTTGCGCTTTTTGAGTTCAATTGAAATTCATTTGCTGAAAGTTACGTAAATAGCACTCTCCGAAAACGAACGTAGAAAGGGCGCGAAAAAACGAACAATTTCTAGTTTCGAAATTTAATTTTTAGATTTACAGCGGAAACTTTACATATTGATCCAGTTTTCTCAAGTTGGTTTAATTCTATCAAAAAAACGCGATTCATAATTTTTTCTAGAAATTCAAAAAGCTTAATGCGCATCTATTTTTTTCTTTGAAATTCGAAAGTAGAGACTTTTTCAACAAAGGTGTTTTTTTTTCTGTTTACTTGCGTTCATTACTCTTTTCCAACTGTTTGTTGGCTATATTTCTTTTTCCTGATTTCAGTTTGTTTTACCTGTTCACAGCTCTTTTTTGCGTTTTCCTCGCTTGTGTTTGGGAAGTGCAGCTTTGCCTCTGTGTAAAATTGTTAGGACTGAGTTCTAAATTGGATGTCAATTTTCATTTTCTTTTTTTTTTTCATTTTTGCAGAATTCAATTCTCAGATGCCTTCAAAAGGCGTTTTAGTTTGGAAAAGTGGCGACTTGATACAATAAGTGGTTTTTTTTTGAGTATAGTGCATGTTTTAAATTTGAGAACTGTAATGCATAAAATAGTCATTTCATTTTCAATCAATTGTACATGCTGCTAAAACAGTTTTTATGAATACATTACTCTGCCGGAGAAAAGGTTAGTCAAAAACTCAAATTTTACTCTTATTTTGCCAAAAAATTTGGCTTTTGAAAAAGTTCTACATGCAGTTTGAAGTCAATCAAAAAGCGATCCTAGAATTCAACTAGAACCTGCTTTGCTTTATTTTAGCTTAGCTTTATTTTAGCTGGGTACCGTGCTTTTTTGTTAATACATGGTTACAGAATTCATCAGCTCACTTTAACTGTCTGTGAAGTTTCTGCTACTTCGTTTAATTGTACGTAGAGGTAACTTAACGTTCATGCTTGGGTCGACAAAGGGCTGAGGATTGAATCGGGTTAGGAGCCTTACGTTTTGGAAGTTAGCTTGGAACATTTTAGTTGTCGGCCTAGCGTTTTTCTGCTCGTTTTTGTCGGATAATTTTCTTTAGCATGCGCTTTCCTTCTGATATAAGCCATTACTACTACAATTGAAAGTCATTTTGATTTTTCCTGTTCTGGTGAGGCTCATTTAGTTCCAGAAATGTTGCCTAATTTGCTGGTATTGTTTTTTGTATGGAGTTTTTTTTATTGGAAATTATTATTTTAAAGATCTAAATTTTTGCTTTAATTTAATTTAAATTACAGAGAAGTATTAAAAGGCATTAAAACGAAATGCGGAAATTTAAATTTTTCCTAATTAAGCCTTTTTTTTATAGCTAGGTTAATTTTACATCCATTTTTTTTCTAGTTTTGCGAATCCATTGGTTTGCTTGATGCTCGGCGGGTTTATTAGGACATAAATTTTGTTCACAATCAAAAGCTTTGTATTGAACCTGTGTTTTGGTTGTGCATTGATCCAGTTTTCAAATCGTGTTTGCTTTATCAAGAGTGTCAATCATAAAAAGCATCTTAAAGAATTCAAAAAGCTTTGAGATGATACATTTTCTCTTGGAAGCTCAATAAGTTGAATTATTTTATGATTGCAATTAGCAAGCGTTATCAAATCAAAGTATTTACTTTCTCCGGTTTACTAATTAGTTTAACAAAATCAGTGAATCATTTGTGCAGCATTCAATCATTTTTGCAACAAACATGCTCAGTTTCTTGAAAAGTCAAATTTAACTACTGATTAAGAAATCATGCTCAGTGGATGCTCGGTAAATACTAAAAGCTTAGTTATTGGTAGTGGTTGTGGTCCTTGTCTGTTTTTGTGTGATTGAATTTTTCGTATTTCCAGTTTTTTCAAGTTTTTTTTAAAGTTATTTCCATCTAATAGCTTGCAATTTTACGCTTTCGTTGTATCACAAGTGATGTGAAGCTCCGCTGTGCCTCTGTGTCATTTTCGGTCTTTTTTCTGCTTGCTTAACTTCATAAAGACATTATGTATTGCCTGCTGGCTAGGTTTAACATCATGTATGCTTATGAATAATTAGCAGAAGTGCGTGTAAAATGTTCATTTCTTTCAGATTTATTATTTTAAAAATGTTGGTTATTATTGGTATTAGCGAACCTCATTCAGAGTCCATGGCAGTAGCGGATTTAGGGGGATTCGACCCCTGCCGACCCAAAGGGTCCCCCTTTGTACTATTTTGAGATATTCATTTTTGGCTGACTGAACTTAAAATTTTTCGAAAGGCGCCTTGAGCGCCAATCTATACTAATTTTGAGGGAAGATCGCGCGCCAAAAAACGCTTATTTTTTGGTCGAAATTTTCCAAAAAGTGCCGAAAAACGCCTTTTTGGCTTTTTTCAAAAATTTGCCTGCGGCGCAGAAAATTTCGTCTCATTGCGGTCTTTTTAGTGGTTTCGCAGAGCTCAGTAAAATCAATTTGCTCGACCTTATAAAGCAGGGTCGACGAAATTTTCAATTTTTTTTTGATAATATGCCCCTCCACCCCCTCGAGAAAATCCTAGATCCCCGCTTGGTCCATGGGCTGAAAAATTTTGGAGCTTTCAGTTATAACTTTTTTTATTTTACGTTTTTATTTTAATTTTCTGCTGATGATTTTTCGGCTTAATGTTTGTCGACTTAAGCTCTATCGGTTTAGTTTCCAAATTACTTAGTCTACTTTGCATGCGCTACTATTATATCTATCGTGGAGCTTCATTTCTGTCGGCCTATTTACCGATTTTTTTTCTTACATGTAGTAATTTTGAGATTGAAAAGATTCCGGCACCAATTATTGAATGCCCAAATTCAATCCCACTAGGACCTCTTTGAAAAACTTTTAATAATTCAAACACGAAATGTTTTTCCACTTCCTTCGTTAATTGTAATATCGTTCGAAGTTCTGCCATCATGGTGCATTCATCCTATAATTATTTTCCGAACTGAAAAAATCTGACAATAAATTTTTTCTGTGAAGCGCGGATATATAAAGTCTTTTTTGATTAATTCGAGCTTTCAGCTCTTGCTCGTCTTAGTTGCTTCGTTACTTCGGCTTAGTGCGAAGCGCAGATATATATAAAGCCTTTTTTGAATAATTCGAGCTTTCAGCTCTTGTTCGTCTTAGCTCTTTCATTAAACATTTTGAGGTAGATATGTGACAGTTGAATTCTGAAGACGGGTCTTGAAAATGTTTGACTTTGACCCTCTGGAGACTCAAGACATCAAGAAGAAGGAAGTGATATGGAATGAGTGGATGTATGGAGGGGAGGGGGACCCGAACTTCCAACCAATCGCTCTTGACTTACACACAGCGGCTTCTCTGGGACTCTACGATGCTGTGAGGGATCTTCTCAAAGCAGAGTTGGTATTAAATTTGAAAATGTTTTAATGTGGATAATAAGTTTTTTAAATCAAGTGGAAAATGAGTTGTTTCGGAAGTTTTAGTCGGGAAAAGAGAAAAGGGCTTCCTAATAGAACAGAGTTCCAGACCAATAATAGGTATAATCATAATGTCCCATTTGAGTGCTACTATTTAATAATTATATTTTTATTCCAGAAAAGGAGGCTGCAAGACACTGTCTTGCAAGAACGTGGGCGGTTGGACTCCACTAATGTATGCTAGCTACATTGGACATGACACAGTGCTGGATCTGCTGCTGGAGGCAGGGGCGGATGTGGCCACTGTGAACATGAAGGGAAGGACTGCCCTCACGTTGGCCTGCTGCTGTGGAAACGAGGCTGCTGCTTACACACTTCTGCAGGTTAGAGAAAATGATAAATGGTAACAAAGCCAGCATTTCACATACCTTCAACAATAACAGAAAAGTAATGCTTCAAGATTGGCTTTGAGAGAGGCGCAAATTTAAAACAGCATTACCATAATTGTCAACTGATCGGTGCTGATTGATTCACCGGAAAGAGAAGCACGTAAACATTTTGTAAGGCGCGTTTTCAACTGATTTACACTATTGCACAGGTGGTACCGGATTCTACAATTTAAACATGGTCGTTTCATCGGTTTGTCTGCGTGTTAAGTTGCTTCAACCATTGCAGGCTGGTGGTGAGATAGAAGCCGCAGACTACAGAGGCAAGACAGCCCTGTTCCACGCAGTCTCCAACGGACACAACTCCCTCACCCGCTTCATGTTGGAGTCGGGGGCCAACCCGAATGTGAAGGAGAGGCTGCACGGATACACTCCTCTGATCGAGGCGGCCATCGAGGACCAGCAGTTAATTGTGGGGGCACTACTCGAGTTCGTAAGTGCAGGCCTTTTCATCTTTGACCTTGTCTGGTGAAAAGTGAACTTTCTGCTCCCAATTTTGTCAAAGTTTCCGTGTGTTGAAGCAAACGGGTGAATGGTTTAGATGCATGGTTATTTTCTGTAAGAGTTGCGCTCTGTAACTCGAAAGTATCCAGATTTAATGTTTTATGATCGAAGAAAAGGAATGTCGGCTGTGCCTAGGATGGTATATATATTTTTGTCTTAAACTGTATCCAGTCAACTCAATGGTGTGTTTGCAGGGTGCTGACTGGAAGCCGAAGCTGTTGAATGGACACTCTGCCCGGACATTGGCCGTGAAGTACAAGAATCTGACGGTGGTGGAGATGATTGACAGGAAGATAAACGACAATCTCAGGCGACAATCTAACGGTGAGCCAGAAATAACAGTGGTTCCATTTGGAATTGAACTCAGGTGCTTTTTCTGAAATGGAAACTGCACCTTTACTGTGCACATGCATGAAGTATTTTAGAATAATAGGTGCTATTTAACCCCTATCTTATTATTCGATCGTAACCTCCAAGTCTCGAAGAGCGCAAGACTCAGTATTAAGACTCAGTGTGAATTTGTAGAGCTAAACATTCTTACAGTAGCAATCAACAAACGTGTCTGTTCAGTAAATCATTTCACCTTCAGTTTTTACATAGTTTTCCAGGCGCCCGACAAATTATGCTTTTATTTGGTGCTGATAAAAAAGTAATCGCCAGGGGCAGATCTAGGATTTTGTCGAGGGAGATTTTATAAAAAGAGAATATAGTATATATCGGAGGCAGAGGCGCATTTACAAAAACTAAAGTTTTAATGTCAGTCGGCTAAACATTGGATCTCCTTTAATAATGCAAAAAAGGGGGGCTTTGGGTGGTCAAATTCCTGACAAAGGGTGCCCCCCTCCCCCCAAATCTGCAAATCTGCTACTGGTTATCGTAGAAAGTTGGAAAATGAAGGAACATGTATCAAATTGTTGCGAGAATATATAAAGTTGATTCCGACCGCACAATTATAACAGGCTATGATGGTTTATGTTCTAGCTGCTCGTAAGAAGCCGGAAGATGAAAATCTGCTCAAGTTGCGAGGCAGTGAGTACAGACGGAACAGTTCTGGGTCGGTGCCTCTAATCAACAAGGAAGCAGTTATGCCCCCCTGTGCCAAGTCACCCAGCATCCACGAGGGACCGATGAGCTTCGCCAAAATCATGAACCAGTCGGGAAATTCAAAAAAAGGTTTTTGAATTTTTAAAAAAGGGCCAAAGGATGTCTCTCAATGGTCCAACACTGCAGGCAATTGAACAGCGCATGAAAACACGGAATACCTGAAAGTTGTTTTTTCTTTTTCGAGTTGCCATTTTTACCTGATTTCTCAATCACTGCTTAAATCGTACGCGACATTAACTTCTAAGTTTTGTGTAGAGCGGTTTGAGAAGAACACTGAGGAGAATGAAGCTACCATTAAGAATCCGGACTGTAGCTGGAATGCAAGTGGCAACAGTACCTCGGCTGCTCCCAGAACCACAGTCGTATCCATTTCCAACTCAGCCAAGATGATCAGGTAATTATACAAGGTTGACAGTTGACTTGAGAAGTTTTTGTTTTTATGGGTTAAAACAGCACAAGAATTATATAATTAAAAAAGCATTTTATCAAGGATTCGACGATTATGTATCAATTGTAATGTTGCGTTAATAAACCAACGTTCGTTATCGCAACATAATCATTTCATCCGTCTATAACACAAACTATTAACAAATTTAGCCGATTTGGCCAGTTTCAGACGAGGTCGCTTCTTTTTAGATGGTCGGTTTTTACACTAGTATAAACCTTTTTTTCTAACCGAACTCGCAAATAAAAGTATTCACTCATTTGTTGGAAATTTTGCTATAATCACGATCTTAATCAAGTTTCTTAGCATCTGTTCTCTGCTTTCTTAGTGGCTAGCGTTTGTGATTTGTTAAGCATCCATGGCTGAGTGTTTAGTGTGTGAGACTCATAAACTCTAGCTCGCAGATTGAATCCAAGACGTAGTCGAAATTTTACTAATCCCAGGCTGATTTCTACTTTTTCGTATTTCCCTTTTATAGAGCTGCTTTTTGTCATGTTCTCGCTAATGTTTGCGAAGCACAACTTCGCCTCTATATGAGACTTTATTAGACTAAACTAAGTGACGATATGCTTTGGCATTCATCAATTCCGGCTCATTCGTTACATTTACTGTAGTTTTGATAAGCGCAAATGATAGTCATTTACTGAAATAATTGGCTAGCTCACATCAGAAATGCCAAGACGGGCTCATCTGTTCGATTCTTTTCATCCGTTCACCCGTCTGTTCCGTTTTTCTCTCGAGATAAAACTATATTAGAAGAAATATAATCCTTGCTCGTAAGATGTAACATCTTTGCACTAATATCACGAAATTATATCTGAGAACTATGAATTCGACCCACTCCGTCTCGCAAGCTGATAGGCTATCGAGTCTTGTCGTAGTTCGGGTTCTAATAAGATACTTCAGATTATTTCTCTCAGTGTCGAGAAAAATTTGTTTGATTTTTTTGCTATTAAGATTCAATCTTCAGATATGGGATGAATGAGCAATACAATTTTGCTTACCGGAGTTCGTTATTTTATCCTTAACTTAATCTTGAAGCTTATATCCAGGCATTTACTCATGCCCAAAAAACTGCAGACGACAATTAGATGTAGGTGATGTTTGATTAGGTCCAATTCTGTGCAGGGTGACATGCAGAGCCAGGCGATGAAACAGACAGCACTCGAGGGGAGGGCAGATTGTGGAAGCAGTGGCGCCGGGGGCAGTAACAACAATGTGTTCAAGGCATCCAGTGACAGACTGCAGGAGGTGGTCGTACAGGGTTAGTACACAGTCTTTCGATGCAGTATGTTTTGTGCAATGGAGTAGCTTTTGTCTGGATGCAACAAGGAGACAGGAGAGCAATAAGTAGCTAACTGTTGTCGCGCAAATAGTAAAAATGTTCTGATTCTATAAACTGTTTCTGTTTAAATGAAAAATGCTTGTAACATCCGGATATGCTGCTGTTTGATTGGCTTCCGAAGGTTGTCTTGTCTGTAGAAAGAAACTTCGAAGATTTATTGTCCAGCTGAGTTTGAAACCGAAATTTTGTCGTGTAATTTGCCTTCTTTTAAAAAATACCGTTTTGACCTCCTAAAGTCAGTAGTCACCCCATGAATGTGTGAAGTAACAGAATTGGTTAAGTAATATGTTCCTCTTTTCAGATCCTCGACTGGCCAATCGCAGTGGAGGTGGAGTGGGTGGTGGTGCTGTTAAGGATGACAGTGGTGGACAACAGGCCACTGCCGTCTTCTTTCCGTACATACAGAAGTAAGTGCAAACGAATTAAATATCTAGGAACACGGCATCAAAGCATCATTTTCCAGCTATTTATTTTTCAAAGATTGCATATCTATGTGATACGTTTGAATTATATGAAATGCGGAATTAACTGATTTTAATTTAATAGCTTTATTAAGAGTCGTTGAACGTTGTGAAGATTTTTATGTAGGTCTTGATGATTTTTCACGTTCAAAATTATTTTTTCGCAGCTTGACTTATGATTTTTTTCAGTAGCCCATTTTCTTTTGCTAAAAGGAATGCATACTCCACTATCGAACACCAAGAGAGTGAGGGTCACAAAAAACGTGATCGAATTCTATTTTCGAAAGTGATTTTAATGTTCAGATTTTCCAGCTGACTACAAAATTTTTCTATTAATACAGTTGTCTCGTACTGTGTTAATTTTATCAATTAAGTGTGAAATAAATTGTTCTTGAAAATCAACGAGTTTTAAGGCCATGCATTGTTTTTTTTTTTTGAAATTCGAAAGTTGAAATTTTTTTAAGACATGGCCATATTATTGTTTCCTTGCATTCATTGACTCTTTTTCAACTGTGTCTTGGCTATGTTTCACGTTAGCGAGTGTAGGGTTGTTTTAAGAATTAACCTTTTCGCACTCCGCTCGCAAATAAAAATGCTCATTGGTTAAATAGCATTGGCAGTTGAGTAGCTCCTTTTGTGATTGCTTTATTGGTTGCAAGTTGCTTTTGGCAATAGGCCATGGCGCAGATGCAAAAACCTGTGATTCTTAATCTCGAGGTCTGGGTTTTGAATCCAGCTCATAGCAGAAGTAATAATTTTCATTGTTTAACCCTATTTACACTAGCGAACTTAAGTGAGCGTTAGTGTAATAGTAGGACTATTCTTTTTTCTAACCTTAGTCGCAAATAATCGTGTCATTTTTGGTGGCACCTTTACGGATTCTTGATGGCATGCGCTCTGACATTCGAGTAGTAATAAGTTAACACAGTCGAATCATTTTAAATTTATCAAATGAACCAAAAAAAGCCACTTGTTTAAAAAAACATAACAATAATAAAACTCGATTTCAGAAATTTCTAACTCAATTTATCTCGAATTTTTTGAAATGCATAGTTTATACATAATGTAGATATATGCTTTCCAATTTATTACATGCAAATTTAGTATGTTGCGTTAAGTTTTGTTATATTCCAATATATTATTTTCCAAATTGTGTCTATTTGTATTTGGTGCCACTTTGCTGCATGGCATTGGCTATTTATTTGCATATGTAGGTGGTTTATTTGTCACTAGTGTTTGCCGATTGTTAAGCTTTCCAGGCCGAAAGTGTAGGGCGTGAGACTCCGATTCTTGAAGTCGGAGGTTCGAAGCCAATAGGTAGCAAAGTTTAACGTACTAATTCGAGGCTTATTCTATTTTTTCCTATTTTACTTTATAAAGATGCTTTCTGTTTTGTTCTCGCAAGTGTTTGCGAAGCACTGCTTCATCTCTGTGTTCATTCAATTTTTTTACTTTAATTATTTAACTCATTTTTTACACGTGCGTAGCGTAGTGTGATAGAACGATGCATTTTTTTTTCCAAACTAGGTAGCTGAAAGTGCTAAAATGAAAGTGCTACTTTTAGTGGCACTTTTCAAACGGTTGGCTGTATCAGCAGTATATTGGCAAGTGCTTTGACTGTTGATTATTAATGGGCTAACACAGTTGATGCTTTTTCATTTCAACAATTGAACTGAAAAAGCTATTTGTTTCATACAACAGTATAATAATTTGAATCCCTTTGCAGAAAGTTTACAACTTGATTTACTTCGCTGAAATGCATAATTTATTCGCAATGTGGTTTAATACAATTTAATTTATTACATGCAACGTTAGTGTGGTTGCCTTCAGTTTATTACATTCCAAATTATACATTCAGAGTTTTGTTCATTTTAAAGCTCCTGATCTTTTTCCGCTTTCTCGCTTGTGTTTACGAAGTTCAGCTTCGCCTCAGTGTTTAAATTATAAAATCTGGTATATTTTTCATATAAATGCTTGTTAGAAAACAATTCCAATTTTTCCGATTTTATAACTCGCACAAAATTCTGCTATGCTAAATTTGATTGGCGAGTGATTTAGTAGCATGTGTTTTATTCGGTTTATTAGAGTACCTGAGATGTTTTATTAGATGATCTGGCTGCTTGAAGAGTTGGCTCAGGCAGGAAGGTATTGATTCATAATCAGGAGCTACGCGTTTTTGCAGTCGGCTTATTATTTAATTTTTTAAGAGCTTATTTACTTTTTTTTCATTTCAAAGCTTTTTGCTATTCTTTTGATGTTCCGTGTTTGTGATTGATTAGAAATAGTTAGTTGATTAGAAATAATGAATATATTTCTGAGTATTGTTTTTACAAATGGTTATGAGCTCTCTGCAATTGGTTTAGCTTGCAATTGAATCCTTCGCTCCATAAAGAGTGGAAAGATTATTTGCAGCAACAACGTCAAACTCCAAGAACTTCTCATACGTGTGAACACTCGGAGGCATCTTTCACGGCGGCAGCAAATTTGCCTGAGATCGCTATTGAAGTGACAGGCGAAGTCGAACACGAGTACGAATTGTGATTATCAACATAATACATCTGATGAACAAAGAATCTGATTTAAGTCTTCCACTAACTTAACAACTGAGATCGTCAACTGAGATTGTTAACATCTCTCTAGAAAATTTACTAACTTTTGAGCTGTTTTCGTTTCTCAATTCTTTTCAGACGTTTTGAAACAAATAAGCGGAGATGATATATGTATACTTATTGCAGGAATGTCTCAGGAGCTAATAGACACATCATGGTACCCAATGGATCCAACCCGCCAATCAGTCAGTACCAACCAAACCATGTAGGCCAGGGTCAACAGTCGGTCAGTCAGAAGCCAGTCGTTCCCCAGTCGTTGTCAGAACTGCTGGACCAGATACAGTGCTCCAAATGGCTGTCCAAGTTCCAGGCACAGGATGTGGATATCGGCGTGTTCTATACAATGACCGACCAGGATTTAAAAGAGATCGGAATCAAGTATGTTTATTGTGGATTGATTTCAGATGGTCAACGACAAAGAAAATATTCACAGAGATTTAATAAGCGAAATTATGTAATTAGATTTAATTATATAATTTAATTTCACCAGCAATTGTTCGTGCTTTTATTGTTCTTCTATGTTTTTTTTTTAATTTTCATAATATGTATGTTTAATTTGTGTTTGATTCAGTCTGCTAGGTCCTCGTAAAAAGATGACAGCTGCCATTGGTAGACACCTGCACAACGTTCCTCTCACTCTCTCATCGGTAGTGGAGCAAGCATATGTGAACAAACTCATCGCAGACCTTGACGATTCTAACAGACAACTCAGTCAGGTAAGTCTACCATTGTGCTACCATTTTGTGCAACCCGAAAGTTTTTAAAAAAACTTAGAAAATTTTCCATTAGTTTTTTTACGCTAAAAACTATGAATTTTCGAAATCTTACTTTTCAACCTTCGCCGAGAATTAACTATTTGTTTGGCCGACATGGGTCAAATTACCTGGTGTTTCAGGCAAATGCGATCAACGCTGAATTGAAGATCCAGTTAGCTCAACAGACTGGACAAATGGAACTTCTAGAACAGAAGACGAAGGCTCTTTTAATCAATACTAGCAGCATTAACTCTCCAAATGGACAGAAGATGGACATGGTCAAACAGCACATCCAGAACTCGCTCAATACTCTAATCAAGATCAGAAATGCACAGCAGAATGGAGGAGGAGCGAATAACGGACAAACTGCGTTCAACGAGTTGGACGCTTTGTGCAAAAAACTATCGATGGTAGTAAATCATCTATAATCCCCAATAGAAAACTGCTAAGATTATCCAAGAGATTCTTGGTCATACTACTCAAATTTGAAGAGAAAAACATGAATTATTTAATGGTATTACATTCGAAAAGATCGACTGTTTAAGTTATAGAATCCTCACTACTGTGCCTATGATTTCGATCCAGGTGTCTTTTATCTAACTCAACCGTGCTAATCGACAGTGCCTTGAACTCATACGGTCGCTTACTTAATCTAATCGAATTGTGCCTTTGTGTTTTATTTGCAATTTATTGGATCTATCTATCCAAGGTATAGATCACGTTAGAATTAGATAGTTTAGTTTATCATTACATAGATGTAGATCATCTATGATGTATTATATAATGATTTGAAGTTTGTGCATCTCAGTGATAATTCACATTTTTGGAACAATTTTTTGATAGTTGCTCCCCGACTATGTGAAAAATGTAGATGAACTTTGTATTCGGATGTGTTTTAGTTTTTTTGTTTTCCACGCAAAATCAGGTACTACAAATAATCATCGGACTGGTTTGGGAGATATACCAAATTGAAGCCCTTCAGTCTTGATTGGAACATCAAAAATTTTCAAAAAGTTTCCTCGGTATCGAGAAAAACTGGTTTAAAATTTTTGATTTTTTCAATTTTGAGCGAATAAAGCGAGCAAGCAGGCTTACTACAGCTTAGTTCTGCTTAATTTAAGCCCTGAAAACTTAGTTTTAAGCTAGTTAAATTAGTTTTTGGAGTATTTTAGCGCCATTAGCATGACTGTCGAATATACCTAAATTATAGATTGACGTCAAATCCTTTTTATCACACCACGCAGAAAAAACTTCACTAATTTGAAAAAATTTTTTAGGTGTTTTTGGAAGACTATGGTCGGCACATTCTGTGCTACTTGCACATGTACAGTAACCGACCATCCTTGTTTTAATTTGTATTCTTCTGAGCGCAGTAAGCTAACGAAGGTCGGAGATAAGTTCATCAACGCCAATACCCAAGCGAATAGTTAAGTTGATAAAATTTTTCCTCGAAGGAAATGACCAACAAACCAGCTGTTCAGCTCTTCTCGGAGAACCGCTATTGTACCCCTGGATAACATCTACATGCAATTTGTGTATGAGCTAAATGCATGAAAAGGTTGATCATTAAATTACTAATAAATGACGAAGAGGAGTTATCAAATAGGATGCGCGATAAAGAAGTTGTCAAACGTAATACGGAATCAAGAATAATTTAGAAGCTATGTGCTTTGTTAGAATGAGAAAAGTGAAGGTTACTGGTTTCGTCGATTGGATTCATTGGTTTGACGAGCAGGTTTAATTTTTTGATTTGCTTGCTGGTCCAAATTCTACTTGAAACTATTCAAAAAACATTATAGCCCAATTTCAAATAATTTTTTCTTATATATTTTATATATATTACATTTTTAAATATTTTTTATCGGCTCACTGACTTAATTTTGATTCGTTTCAAGGAAAACAAATATTTCATGCTCACCTCTAAATTACTGAAAAGGCTAAAATCTCAATACATTATCTAGTTCAAGTTTAATGGAAACGTTTTTTTCGGCTTTCTGTTTTTTCCTTTTCTTTCGGCTTGATAGATTTTGGCCTATATTATATTGGTTTAATGGCCATATTGCGTCTTTCGGCGAGCAAAAAACATGTGCGTGCCTGTCTGTGTTTTGAGGGCCAGAGGGAATTACTAACTTAAGTCTTGTTGATTTTTTTTCGCGTTAAAGGGTTACTGCCGAGATACTTTTTGGCTTTGTTAATGTTTGGTAAGTTTTTTTTCTGATGATAGGTCACATTCCATTGTCTTGCATAATTTTTATTTGAAAAAAAAACCTTTTTTTGATAGATCTAGCTTTTTCGATACTTTCGGATGTTTCTGATTTGGTGGCTTTCTTGGTTTGTATCACAAGTAGTGCGAAGCTCAGCCTCGCCTCTGTGTAAAATATAATTGTTTTTGCTCCCGAAAAAGTGAAAAGAAATCATAACTTTGTGCAGTTTTTCCCTCGCAAATAAATTTATCCCGAAGTGAGCTTCTACGTAGTAACGCTTACCATTAGCAGGGCTAATCGGATTATGTACTTCCCAGGTCATAAACTTGTCTTACAGAGTCAGTGATTTATTTGATGGCTTGCCTCATAATCAGTTTAAGTTTTGCGTCTAATCCGACAAGGAGTTGATATAAATGATAACTTGAAAAGATTGTTTTTTCTGCGTATATTTGTCGACGTAGTTCACACAGCGCGTACTTAGCAGATGATTATCCCTTGATGTTTGATTTGACTTGAAATTTATTCATTCAATTGTACAGATAATTGAGTTGCAAAAACTTTTGCAGAAAATTTATTATTTTTTGATATACCGTTTAATGATAATTTTGAAGTTTTTATTTTGTGTTTTTTCTACTCTTAGTAAACAAAACATCTTCGTGGAGACGTCTGAAGATTTTTAGAATTTATGATTTTGATCGGAGCAACCAATGACCGAATAAATAATGGTTTTTCATGCTTTTGACAAATTTTGGTTTAATTTAACAACTAAGATCGGCTATGATGGTGTATCTTGTATCATAACAGCGTTGAAATAGTTTAAGTTGGTTAATCAGAAGGTGCTATTGTATGCTTCATTTTTTACTAAATCTTATTTTAACCAAGTATGATGTCGGGACAAGCTGTAATCTGCTCGCAGCAAATTCGTTGTATTTTAATAAGTATAATTTGGGGCTCACAAAAGCGTTTGTTTCAGAATCTATTGTGTTTATTTTTTTTTGTTTACTCGTACTTATCTGCTTTATTGGTGGCTGGAGTTGGGAGTTATACTAGTGCAGCTAAAACAATCGTAAAAACGTTTGATTCTAAATTTGTAGATTGGAACTTCCAATCTCATTGGCGGATATTTCTTTATATTGTTTCTTGCAATTTTTAAGCTTTTTTACAATTTTTTGCGCGAAGAGCACCTTTGCCGCAGTGTAGAATGACAAAATTCAATCAGTATAATGCTAGAATAAACTATTCAATCTTTTTTTTTCCAAAAATATTTCGAAAATCTGCGAAGTTGATAATTTCAGGGATGTTGTTGGAAAATTCTTGAAGTCATTTGTTTTTAGTTAACTTTAAATATTTAGCGGAAAAAATGGTAGAAATGATTGATTGAACTTGAATAAAAATTGGGGCAACATGGGGTTAAAATTTGAGTTTTGTGTGAGTTTTGTAACAAGGATGAAATTTGAGATAGACTTACCAAAACATTTAAAATGAAAGTAATTATAGACAAAATTTTTTTTGATTAAGTTGCAAAAAAATTACTGTTATCCATCCAGATAAACTCTCCATTGCAATATTTAAAATGAAAAAACCTGTTGACAACTTACTTTTTGATTTATAACTAATAATCTAGTATTTCGAAAACAAAAGAGCTCTTCAGATGTGAATATCATTTCAGTGAAACGGAAAACTTCACAAATATTTTTTATCTCATTTGCAGTACATAGCGGGAAACTAAAAAAATTTGAAACATGTCAGTTTGGGAGCATTTTTGAGTTTTCACCAATACATTAGGTTTGCATGTAGGTTGCTTTAGTTTTGTAAAATTTTTCAAAAAAGGAAATTGTTTGTTGTCCCGGTCTTGTTGTCCCGATTGAGGCAGGTAATTTAAGTAGATGCAGAAAAATAATTTCAATATCTTCTCGTTTTTTGGATTTTTTTCTAATGAGAGCTACATTACACACGTTGAGGGGATTTCGGTAGATTAGCACAGCTTAAAATAAAAAGCAAGCCACTCATAAAACACTTTCTGCAAGCTCACAGAAAAATAAAAAAATATATTTTGCCTAGAAACAACAACAAAAAATTTCACTGATTTCAAAAAACCAATTATTACAATCGATTAACCAGTGGTTCTGATTGCAGATTGGTTTTTGATCACAAGCAAATTTGATAGGTTCAATGAACAATTTAATGAGACGATGTTAGAAACAATTGAAACCTCAAATACCGCAGTATACTTTTGGAAACAACCGGCAGTAACTTCACAAACATTTGGTCCCCGAATTCCAAAAAAGCATCGCGTAACTTTTTCCAGTAATTTTTAGCAAACCGACTGAAAGCAAGCGACAAAAAAAGAAACAAAACTTGAAGATTGTTTTCGGGGTGGGATTTGGAGCCTGAAAAATACTCATGCCTTTATCTAAAAGTTGAAAAGGAAAACATTTTCTTGTAGTTGTTTTGCGATTGAGGCCAATTCGGGATAAATATGGTGCATTATAATTTGCAAAAAAAAGTTTTCCAACTGAATTGAGACTAGCGATTTGCGCTAATTGATACATTACTAGATGCGAAAGATATCACTTTGCACTTAAAATTGTCCTGAGTAGGATTTTGTTCAATAAGCAACGAGAAACAACTTCGTGGACATTAAAAGGCAGGAGCAACATTTATCAATTTGCTCTGATACAAATAGAGTTGTAAATACTGTACTCAAAATTAAACACAAATCATGATTAAAAATTTAACTTTTACTTTTTGTCGATATTGTTCAAAAATCATATAATCTCATCTGTGGTTCGTGTTTTTTGGGGACATGACGCTTTGAAATTTACCATTCTGAGCATTTCGGAATTTAAAGAAATGCGTCAAACTGCTTGTAGAGAGTTTTGCGTTTTTACTGAATCTGTGCGGTTCAGACTCAATTCTATGGCTTACGCCAAATTGTAGGCAATATCTTTTCGGTCAACTAAGCTGAAACTAATCAAGTAACTTAAAACTGCTCTTTTCGAGGACAAATTTTATCTTAGTACTGATTTCCACTCATAAAAACGGTTTCCGAAAACGGAAATACTTGAAATGCACGTTTTTGACAACTTGAATTGTTCAATGTCACTGATATTGCCAAGAATTAGGCCTTAAATATCAATTGAAATGAGGCAAATCGATTTTTAAGCGCAGTCAATGTATTCAAGAGTTCTCCCAGGTACGAGCAGTCGTTTTTCAAATTAAGCATCATTTTATACTATTGCTCTGGTATTATGTCGGAAACCGAATACGCGAAGAGTGAAACAGTCTGGTGTTGCAAGACATGCCTTAATTCACAAAAACGGATCGGTCCGAGAAGGGAGATAAAGTTTTTCTAAGATATGTGAATTACATAGTTAGAACGTCTAGGGACAATCCCAGGGTAGTCTTGGAGAGTGCTTATAAATTGCAATTGAATTCAGACAAGCTGATTTGTCAAAATAGCAAGTAATACATCAAATTGAAACGTCTTCCTCACCGCAAACACTACCCTAGACTTTTTAAGGGGAGTCAATACATTCAAGGCTTCGCCCAGGTACGAGCAGTTGTATCCCAACTCATGTTTTAACTTATACAATTTGAAGCAGTTGATCAATGTTACTCCAACTAGAAGAATTTTCAAGTGTTGATATTGCTTGGTTGAACTAACCTAAAATTTTCAAATCTTAATCGACAACTTTAAGTTGCATTGAAGCAACGAATGAAACTCGAAATCAGAATAGTCTAAGTTAAAATTACTGCAAAAATAGGGAGAAGGAACAGCTTGAAAATCGGATTCAAGGTGCATATACACGCGTTTTATCTGCAAAAAGAACGTCTGGTTTTGGATATCCGTTGTATGCAAACTTTTGCACTCCAAAAATCTTTTAAGGGCAAGAAAAATACTTTTAGCCGTATTTGGTTAACTTTTGGGTGCAAAAAAGGCTCCGATCTTCAAAAAACCACTAAACCCATACAACTTCGGGCGTCTTTTCTATTACGCAGCCCAAAATTCATCATCGTTTTGCTAAATTGAAAGTGAGATAATGCTTGATTCTGATAGAATAAAATTAACAAATGCGATTGAAATCTGAAGCTCAATTTCAAACATATTGGCTCATTCAAAATTTTGTATTAATTTTGGGCCGCATAGCTGAAAAAAACCAACTGTGCAAGTGGTGACATTATCCCTCCTTTCGGCGGCGATTACGCCAAATTGAAATAAATATTTCTGGACCATTTGTTCTTGATGAATCTCATCAGACCTCCAGAGTTGTAACAAATTTGAAGACAACTCTGTATGATGTATGATATTGCTGATGCTCAAGGCCAACTTAAAAACTAAGTTTGAGTCAGTCTTTGGCGGCGCTCCAATAACGATGCAAAGTATCAAAAATCCATTTTATTTCAAGGTCATCTACGGCAAGCACCAAACACAAAATGAAATTGAAAAATATTGTGGTTGTTCTTCAGAAATTTTAATACGTGGCAAATTTTTAATTTCTTGCCGTTTTTAACCATGAATTTTTACATTCCACAAATTTCCAGAGGTGAGAAGTGTTCGGGTCCGTTGGACTGTAGCAAGAGTGTTGACGGGAGGTTCTGTTGTTACGAGAATGGATCGTGCTGTGACAAGGATGCCTACTTGCATAGCTCCAAGAGCTGTGACACGAACGTCAACTGTCCCACTGATTCGGAGTTCTACTACTGCTGCGTCTCAACCAAAACTTGTTGCAGCTACGAAGCATACCAGGTAAGTTGCTCAAGCTTCGATATACTCTGTGAGATCTGTAGGACCATAAGAAAATAATCTATCATTCGGATAAATTACTTTACCCAGAGTCTTCTGACCCAACTATTGAGACACATATTCACAGCCTAATTGAACTTAAAACCGTAAGTGATCGCTGACTTGGCCGAAAGTAACAGCTGTGTTGAGTGGTCACAGGAGGTTGACCACTCAACCGGAGGCCAAAAATTGTTCCAAGTTTCGATAAACTCTGTGAGATCTTGCTCAGCCGGAGGCCAAAATTTGTGCACATCTAAATTGAAACCAAAAAAGCTTCGAAACTTCATCATAGTTTTTTAGGAGGAGACCGACGCTCAGTTGAACCACATGATAGCAGCATTCACATGTGCCAGCTTCTTCCTCATTATGGGCGTGTGTGTTTGCTTCGCCTGCTGGAAAATATGCAGCAACCACTCACCCTCTGCCAGATTATTTCGACGTAGAGCGAGACAAGGCGAACCACGTCCATCATCTAGAAATGGTCCGACAAGCGGTCGTATCCAGCCCTACTTCTGCGATACGAGTATCAACATAGTGAATATAACGACGAATGACGGAAGCGAAAACATGTTCCAAGAACATAACTTCCGAGGACGAAGGTACTTCATAGAACTACCGACGTATGACGGAGGATGCGATGCAGAGGCCGGTTCTCAGACACCGGATGCGGATAATTTAAGATTGAGTGAAACTAGAAGTCAGGGTCTGCGAACAGCAGTTACAAACAACCGAGTGGACAGACCCGAAGGCAACTGTTCCTCGGAGACTGAGGAGCCGCCTAAATATTCGCCACCTCCTCTGTATGATATTTTGGCAACAATTGCAGAAGCCGCAGAAGAATCGAACGACGCTACTCATTCCCCATCCTTGCGAGACGCAGATCTACACAATGCGTTGCGAGAGCCGAGCTTGCATACTCCCATTCCTCCGAGAGACTCGAACGATCGAACGGAAGCGGGCGATTCCGTTAAGAGCACAGATTCGGATGAAGAAAATCTGCTCGAGATTCAGCCTTTGGTTTTCGATACCTTTTTATTAACAAATCGTGTTCCTTCGCTAGAATCTATCAATGTGGAAGCTCCGAAGATCGATGAGGCTTCTAATACACCTAAGATTGAGGAGTAAATTGATTGTAAATTATATGGATTTTAATTTGATTTTGTACCTTCAATATGTGAATATAATTAACCGTTTTTGCCAGGTCAATTCGCAGTATTACAGACTTCAACTAGCCACAGCAAAACGAAAAAATGGAACGTCATTAAGGTTGTCGCAATAACGCAAACAAGCTTGCCAAATTGATTTTTCGAAAGATGACTCAGGAAAATTACTTTAAATTTTCAAGAACCATGAATACGATAAGATGACAAAAAAATTTTCAACTTGATTTCTCGAGACTTTTCTGGTTTTTGGTTAAGTTCTGCGAATGTGAAATCGCCATAGTAGTTGCCAGCAAAAATTAATGCAAGAGAGTGGTGTGAAATAATACAGGAGTCGTGAAATGGTTTTAAATGGCGGGATCAAGTTGAAGGATTCATGTAGACCAGCTAAGTCTAATTAAGTCCACCAGAATTCATTCAGTGTTCCAGTTAACCAGGAGTTTTGAAATAACCGAGCCTGTTTTGAAATCAATTGAAATTTAGTGACTGTTCGAGAAAGAAGCGTAAAATTTTTGCTCGTAACGTATGAGAGTCGCAAAACTTGTGTATTCGAGTTTCAAATTGGTGTAGTTTGATTACTCAGACTATTTTCGGCTACCAAAATAGCAATTTTCAGTTATATTTTCAGTACCGCAAGGAATATAATGATTGTTGTTACTTAGGTGTCAAACCAAGAAATAACTTTAAGTTAATTCTGGGATGTTAGATAATTCGCTGCTAGCCTCACAATAACTATCCAATTCATCCCTAAAGACATCAAAGTGAAATAATTAAGTCTAAGCAGGTCCAAATTACTGCGCAGAGAAAACTCCGCCTGCGACATTTCAGCCAATTTAAAATTCAGACAATTCAACCAAAACTATACAGACAATCCAGTCGCAGACATTTCAGCCTGTTTTGCAAAAGATTTACTGTCAACTAAATCGGAATTGCCGGTAATTCTCGGATTATAGTCGCAGGTGGGCGCGCTATGAGCGTGTCGCAGATTCGCGGCGATAAACGGCTCTAAATTTCGTAAAGAGTCGTACCCCTTGTTGGCAAGCTCGCAACACGTTGGCGCGACTGCAGCAGTCACTAATAAATTTTTTAAGAACAAAGTTATTTTGTCATGTTGGCTGAGTTGTCCGTGACTGAATTGTCTGTAAATTTTTGACCGAATTGTCTGAAATTTAGTCGGTGTTTTATTGAATTTTAAAACTAGGCGCATTTTTATTAAATTTTAAAAGTTAGTTTAAATGCTATTGTTCCGAATTTCAAAAAATGCAGATTATTTATGCTTGGGTGATTTTTATTCTGACTTTTGGACTTTCTAACTAAGCATTTTCGACAGAATTGTTCGGATGCGTCTCTAGATACCATAGATGTCCTTAATATCTTGAAGTAAGCAATATAACAGCCCGAATTGATCGATCGTAGTCTGATATATCAGACCAACAATATACACGGGTTTTTGAAGGTAAACAAAAATTGTTGGCCTGAAATTCATAACTGAACTTATTGTGTAGTGAAAAAAGCCTACTAAACGCCAATCAAATGAGATTTGTGTATAGATAATAAAATATTATATATACAAAAAACTGATTATTGACTGAAAAATGGAAAAAATTTCAAATCAAATTGTCGAACAATAAGGGTTCTACCAGCAATATCAACTTGGAGCAATGCGCCTTGATTTCAAAAAAATTTGTTGCCTTCTCAAAAAACAGCGTTCTTACTTGATGATATACCCAACGTAGATTTGAGTAAGGTCTCTGAGATTCGAGAATTGGCCTCAAAAACGGTTGCTTTGATTTCTCTACGAATAATTAAAAACCTGAACATTTAAACAATTTCAACAAGAGTTGAAAAGTTAATCGTTATTCCTTGATCTGAAAAAATTGATTCTGAATTACCAGAGATTTTCAGAGCCATCAGAGGAGCGCTTTTTAGTATCTAAAAGTATTTCCAAACATAAATTTCAGAATGACTCAAAGTGGTCCAAGAACCGCCTACTCAACAATTGATTCCATTTTGTTTTATGGGAAACCTTCAGAATATCAACTTAATAACAAAAAGTTTACTGTTTGCTCATCAATACATTGTTGTAAAGAATTCAGTTTTTTCGACCACAATCCCTAAAAACAAAATCCCTGGTTTTCAAATAATTTTTTTCATTAGAAACCTATGATAAAAAAATCAAAACTGTACAAAACTAAAACAAACTGGATCTCATTTAATCGAACTGACCCACATCGAAGCAATTATTTTCAACCTGTACATCATTAACTCATGCAAAATACTGCAAAAAGCAGATGACGCAATGTTATCATCTTGCAATAAAAAATATTGTCAAAACGGCACTTTGAACTGAAAAAACTGCAATCAATTTTCAAAAGTTTCCACACCTACTTTCTCCAGCTGAAAACTAAAAAAAAAATTCTTCAGTAGACAAAACGCATGAAAAACTGAAAAAATTTACGACTGCATTAAATAAAATTATCATTAAAATATGATCAATGAAAATCATTTTGGTGTGATTTTTGGCCAAACTTCGATGTTCCTAGATGAATTTAAAATGATGCCAAAAAGGCTTGCAAAATAAAATACATTTATGAATAAAAAACGCTTCACGTCAAAATGAGACGAAAACTATGTGACGCATTCTGTTTTAGTCATTTACACCACCCCATCATCCTAAAAAAATAAAGTTTCAGCAAACATCATGTTTATTGAACTGACAATTAAGCGGGGCAGCCAAAAATAGTTGTGGTTGTAAAAAAAGTTTAACCAATTTCTGAATTTGTTTAAAGCATAAAATTTTGCCAAAACTTTTTTCATGGCTAGCAAATAATTTCTTTCTTGGTCAACAAACACCATGTCTTACCAGATTCTGATGAAACTTACTTTTAAATCTAAGATAAAGTCAACATGTACACACTTTTATTTGGATGTCTTTGACTATTTAAGTGAACTGAAGACAAGTAAATCAACTTCAGTGATATTCTCACTTATGAACAAGTAAAAATTAAGTTTAAATATTTTGTTTTGATCCATGGAACAATTTAATGGACAACGTTCAGATCAATTAGCGTGGAATCCGTAAGACTTTTTTGTTCAATTAACTGTTTATGGTTTATAACTAGTTTTTTTAACCACACTGAGAAAATAACGTGACCTACGCTTGTATTTTTGACAAAACTTTCACTGACGATCAAATGAAACAAGACTGTTCGTATCAGAGCGAAGACCTGAATATTCCGACAGCCTTTTCAGGTCTATGGAGCAGTAATAACATGGAAAAAATTTAATGATTTTTTTTTAATTTGAGATTTTTTTGTGAAGTATCATACCCTCACACACAATATACAGTGCAAAATGATAAATTTCGATCTTAGTAACAAATCAATTATGCCAAATAAGCTTACTTAAGCCAATTTTAAACGATTTCTAAGAAGGAATAAATCTCCGCTTACGCGTTGATAGTGCGAAATATATCGCGCGTTAATTTTCCCAAATTGACCAAAATTGCAATCTTTAAACCCTCATAACTTTCCAAAAATATATCACATATATTTGAGCGTTCCGACTGCCTCTTAAAGTCCAAGAAATTAGTTTTTTCGAAAAAATTCCCCCACTTGCTATGTGAAAAATAAAGTGGTGCACTTAGCATGTAGCAACAATTTCATAGCTTGCCTCAATTTAAAGGCTAACAAGACTTCTCGTATATCCCTAAAGATTCCGACTGCACTTAAGGCCAATTAAAAACTTTTTGTTTGGTTGAATAATTGAGAAGGATTTTTTTTCTTCCATTTTTCTTCAATTTATTGCCCTACACGATATGCAAAGTACTAAAGGTGTGGTTAGCGTCTTGTATTGTAATAATAGGAATACCATGCTGGCCTCAACTAAATTTGGAACGAATTAATTTACTTCTTATGAATGTCATAAGTACCCAATCTATCACACTTTAATTATCCAAACTGGGCCAAACTAGCAATTTGAAACGCCCGTAACTTTACCAAAAATGACCACAAGTGTAACATCTTTTTGATTTTGAGTTCAAGATAACAATATCTCTCAGATGTTATAAGAATTTCCGTCTAAAACGCTTAGTTAAGAAGTCGAAAATTGACTGAATAAAAAAAACACACCAAGCATAGATATTCCACACTTTCTTCAAAATTCGCTGGAGTGATTTCGCTGGAGGATGTTCAGTAAAATTGATTATGAGCATTTCTTATTGACTTTTGAGACTTCAGTGAAATAAAAATCTTGAAGAATCCTTAATTCTGCAAAAACAATCAGAATTCATTCAGAGAATGAGCTTTAAAAGTTTTGAAAGTTTCTCTCAAAAATGAAAAATTGATGAGATTTAATCGTTTTGAACTAATTATTCTCAAAAAAAAATTTTTTTGAAAAATTTATTTTGCTTTTTTTACACTCAAGTTTTCTGTAGATGAGAAGCAACAGCTGTTTTTGCATCGCGAAACTCTGCCAGTAAATCGAGCACGCAGTGTCAATATGTGAACAAATTTCGAGATGCAATATAAGCTAATGCTTGTCTGGCATGAAACAAATATAAGAAAATCGAAGACAACACAACACACTCATTTGAAAAATTCTTCATTTTCACTTTCTAATTTGTTTTGATTAACTTCCCTAGGAAAAACTTGCACTAGTAGTTCAAATATTGCACAAACTTTTTTTGTTATTTCGTAAATAATTCAACTAATGCACTAGTTTTTTCAAATGAAAACATACTGAACACGTTAGTTGAAAAACATACTGAACACGTCAAAATGAAAAACTGATGAAAACAAACTAAAATTTCAATAAATCAGGAGAAAAGAAAAGCCAAACATCAAAAAGCAATAAGAGAATTGATGCCAAAATATTTTTCAATCATTACAGTTTACACGCAAAAAATCCCCCTTAAAACAGATTAAAACTTAAAAACTTTAAATCCCCTTGAAACGGGTTAAACCGAAAAAGTTCAAAGATCATGAGGCCAATAAGCCGATATAAAAAAAGCCGAACTCTATTAAGCCAAAAGAAAAGAAAAAAGAATAAGATTGCTTCTTTTTTAGTGCAATTACAATCTTCAATTTAAAAAACGCAGTCGGTAAAATGGCAACAAACAAAGCAAGATACAAAATTGGAACCACAAAATT